GAGATCACACCGGTATACCGAGTGTTGATGCTGCAAAACAGTCCCGACAAGACCGTCCACAAGACTTCTCTTGAGCAAGATGCGGGTGAGCAGCGCTACAAAGCCTTGAATAATGCATGTGAGAACCTCTCCAACGAAGAGAAGTGGCGGACGTACGACCGCGCATACCCGCGCCAGTACCAGAGGAGTTAAAGCAAGATACAAAAGGAGCCAAAAGATCTAGAGCAGGCTTGATCCGAAACCTAGGGCCAATAAACACAAAGATTATTGTCCAAGAAAAGGTTCTAGGCAGGAGACTCAGACCCCTCGTTCTTCTACGTGCGAAGACTGAAACCATACAACGCCTCCATTTGCCGCGACGATTCCAACTGTTAACTTGATGACCTTACGGAAACCCAGCAGCGTCATGGACGCGCGGTGGGATGTTGTTCCCATATCGCTATCAGCAGCAGTGGGACCTCACACCAAACCATACTATCTTTTCATAGCTATTGGGATTGGCGTCCTTCTCTAGCTTATTTCCCCTCTTCTATTACCGAATTTTTGTCTCGGGCCGGATCAGGCATCACTCAAGATCGGTGGCCTGGCTTGGCTGAAGCAAGCGCTGGGGGTTGAGGGAGTGTAGTGGATCTATGTTTGCGTTGTGCCGAACAGACATAGTAACGGTTTCCAACGCTCTCAACCGTACGAATTACGTTTCATACTTTTCGTCTCAGTACTGTCACGTGAGCCGTAGCAAACGTAGTATAGTCCTTGTACGTTTTGTTTTGTCTTGTAAGTCATAGCTGCGGACCGTACTGCGTCTCAAAAGCTTAACTTTTAGGTAGAGATTGCCTATTAGCTCAGACATTAATAGGTGGGGACCTGTGGCACTGTTAGACGAGTTTTTTAATAAGCTAGTTGTTAATTAGGGGGTAAGATTGCCTAATAACCTAGGTGCAGCATTTCCTACCTAAATTAACACTGCTAAATCTTTCTATATCTTAATATTATGTTAACTATGCGCAATTTCCTTAGTTAACAAGCCTCTACACAGAGCACTAGCTAGTTGTAGAGCTCTTAGAGCTCTTAGTTAACCTAGGGTAGTAACATAATCTATCACGCTTGTTCCTGTCGCCTAGAGAAGTTGTAATTATTGTTATTAGAGTCCTTATCCTGTAATAGCTCTCTAGCTTTTGTATATAATTCTTATGTAAGAGAACACTCTAGAGATTTTTTTCTTAATCTAGAAGTTATGTTTCTAATAAAGTAGGATAATATATAGCTTACTAGCAAAAAGCTAAAGGCAGAGGAGCTAGGTTACTGCGTGAAACACTCTTCTTAGCTCTAAGATAACAGGAAGGCGTTAGTAGTGTAGAACTATAGAGCTAACTTGCTATACACTAGAGAAGGCTTAAGGGTGAAGCTCTAGCTCTGCTAACTCTGCTATTGCAGAGGCAATTGCGCTGCTACTAAAATAGTTAACAGCTATAGCTATATTAGCTACTATCTTAAGAAAGAGCATAGAATTAATATTAGTAGTAATAAAGGTCTTTTACCTAATTCTCTTTATGCTTTACCTAATCCTTAGGCAGCAACAGCTACTACAGTAGCAGGCTTAGCCTAAGTTGCTTCTTATAATCCCTAGTAAGAGGGGTTGTTGCAGAGGTTGTTAGTAGACTAGGTTATACTTTATAATATATTATTTACAACAGCATCCTTAGCTAAACTCTAAGGCCTTTTTACCTAGAACTAACTAGATCTTCTTGCTGCTATCTTAAGCTTAAATGTAACAATATTATTATATATAAAGTAGAGGTTAACACGCTAGAAGGAGGAGATTTAAACAATATTAAAATTAGCTAGGTTAAAAGTAGTGTTAAGTGTTAATATATAGACTTTACTAAACTACCTCTTCTTTTTTAGAGTAGTAGCTTACTTTCTTAGTAAGTTTAGCAGAACCTTAGAGGGGCTATTTTAGCGTCTTAGCTTAGAAAACTAACAATAAACAATAACTAACTCCTACCTTATAAATGTTAATTATTAATAATAAGACTTACTTATTAGCTTCTATAACTTTTATAGCAACTATATAGAGGCTAACTAAGCGCAGGCTATCTTTAAAATTATTTAGGATTACAAAATTATGTTAAAATTTAGTTGTTTTATTGCTAATAACACGTCTAATAACAACAACTCTACTATTAACACTCTAGCTAAATATCTTAGAGTTAACCTTAATAAAGAGCACTGCATACGCTGTACAGGCTACATAATCTAATTAGTGCTAAAGGCAGTTATCTATAGTAAAGGATTATTGCAATTTAAAGCTGCTCTTGCAAACGCAGCTCCCTAGAATTAGTTTAAGCTTTATTATAAACATAAAGTTGTTAGCAAGCTACATAACTTTGTTAATGCTATTCTCTTATTACATAAACGCTAGGAGGCCTTTATAGCTGTATAATTATCTCTAGGGGAAAAGGACAAGCTCTAGAGCTTTAGTACACTTAATTTAATACAGGACAGCAGCGTCTGCTAGCATTCTATATATCTAATGCTTGTACAGTGCCTAGAGCTTAAGGATCTAATTACTAAGTTTATCTAAAAGTAGCGCAGCATAGATGACAACACTAAGGACTCTAACATACCTAGCAACACAGCTCTTTAAGAGATTATTAGTAAAGAAGACTAAAAGAAGGTTAAACGCCTTACTAAGTTCCTTAAGGTCTTTTATTAAATAATAAAATAGCTAGAGGGCAACAGCAAGCATAGTTCTCTATAGATGTCTATTATTAACATGCAAGTGCTGTATAATAAGCTGTTGCAGATAAAAAAGAAACTTTTCTTTAAGCCTAACAACAGTTACTTTAAAAACAGCGTTTTTTTTAGACTTAAAAAAATTAACACATATTTCTAAAAGATAGTTATTAATCTTTTTATCTCTTACTTAGTAATTGCTACTATACTTAACCCACAACTTTATATACTCTAGTTTAAGGACCACTAGCGTTATTACTAATTCTAGTACTAGAAGGCAGAGACCTTAATAAAGGTTGTTTTCTAGCGTTACATTAATGCTAAAGAAGATAAAGAAGTTAATATAGATCCCCTCTAGTAAAAGCTTTTAGTAATAAGCTCTTATAACTCTTATTACTAAAAGGCTTTTACAGTTAACACTTCTCTTCTTACTAGAGCCTAGAGTTATAAGAAAGCTTAGAAAATAATAGAGTTATAGCAATACTTTAACGCTTATGTAGAAGACTTTTAAGATGCTAAGGTAAGAGATAGCTATTCTTTATAAGCTAGCCCTCTTACTTAGTGGCTTAAAGTAGGTTAAAAATAGTATCCTACGCTGTTTAAAATTGCCCTTAACTTCCTCACTATACCCTCTACTAGCTGCGACTGCAAGAGAGCCTTTAGTGGAGGCCAGCGTACAGTTATAATTAATAGAGGTTCTCTCTCTAGGGCTACTATTAAGGCGCTTTAATTGCAGAAGAATTAGCTACGTTATTAAGTTGTAAAGAGTAACTTAATTAAGCTTGTAAACCTTATCTAAAAGCAGCTAGTTACTATACTGTAAAACGTTAACAGCAGCAAGTAAGATAAAATGTTAAAAAGTACAAGGATTTTAGTGCGTTTTAGTTCAGCAGCAAAACAGACAGCTAAGTCGCCCAGGCCGTACAAACGTAGCAGGAAAGTGAGACGTTGACGTCCGTTGATTACTACGTTTCGTTTCGTTTCGTTCGGTTGAGAGCGTTGACGGTTTCATTGAAAGAGGCATACCAGCGCTTTGAACGCAATTCTAGCTCTATGTCAGAGTCTTGGGCCTATGTCTATGGCTGACGCTGCGGGGTAAAGCTCCCAAACGGGATCGCCATAAACGTAGAGAACGTCGTACTTAACTTCTTCAAAGACTTTCAGATATTTTTTTCCTCGTACGTATTGGCCTATATTCCAGGGTTGTTTCGTGCACCAGTAATCTGTATGCATCCTGCGTAGGCTTTGCGGCCGTCGATAGAACTTAGAAGTTGAACCATCACACGTCTGCACCCTCCATTGAGCTATTTTCTGCTGTTCTTCGTGGCCTCCCACTCTTTAGGGCCCTTCCAATCACCAAAGTATTAGTCTTGAGCTCTGTCATCACTTTTCGGCTTACTCCCCACGATGCCTGATCGGTTCTCAGCCTGGTTTGCACAGTCTCAAAGTGAGTCGGTCTGCTTCCTCATTTATGTAGCTTGGGTAGTTAGGCTGATTGTAAAATACATGCATATGGAGGACTTTATGGTCATAGGTCGAAGTAATTACGACTGGGAGGAAAGGGTAGAACGGACATCTGTTCTTAAATCGTCAGGAGACTACACCCTCTTCTATTTGTTTAGCTTTCAGTGCGCAGCATAGAGCGCACACTCTAGCCTGTTTTGTGGAAGGAAGTGCGGGAATTTTGGCACTGTACGCATGACTTGATACGCATCTGCTATCTCGATGTCTTCAATGCAATGAGCCTGTGAAATCTCATGGGATAATTAATAGTAAATCATGTCAGCAGAGCTTACGCAGATATCCTAGGGCTTTATTTAGATGGAAAAATATAGGCTCATTGCGATAGAATAATTCGGAGGGAGGCGAAGATTCGATCGAGAGCTATTCACTAATATACTTAAATCTAGGCTCCTATGGAATATACGAAGAGAATTTAGGATGTCATCTAGGCCTAAGCCTGACAGATTATGCATGTAGAGCGTAACTGTATGTTAGTTTCTTCAAAGGCAACCCGGTTTTAGCGTGGAAAAAAGTACGGACAGGACGTGGCGTCCGGTCACTAAGGGTTAAAGCGAATGGGCAGTTGTTGAGAGAGCTGACTGGAAAGCCGCGACGTTGAAAAGATATAATGACAAAAGCTTGAGCAGATTTGCTCTCATCCCCACATTACTAATTGTATAAAACGACACTGTATGATAAGGGTGACTAAAACAATCATCTATATTATACACGCATTCCCGTCGCAGTGACTGCTGGCATGTCTATACGCATTCCCAACTGTTCAACTTCTTTGCATCGCCGCCCTTATATACATTGCGCTTTGGATACTTGCAATGCGCCCGTTGATACTGAACCCCTAAGCTTTGCGTATCATTAACAAACCTAGTACCAATGATCGTCTCTGGAGCCTTGCCATTTTCCACCCAATTTACAATCGCCATGAGGACATTCTGACTCGGATCCAAACTAGCCACAGAATTAAGACTCTGTCCAATGACGCTTGCGCCATCGCCTCCATAACAATGATCCATCCCACTGATGCGGAAGAATCGGTAGAAGGAATCCAGCTGAGTGGGCTTGAGCCTCATTGTCTTACTCACATGTTCGTAGTATCGCGGCGAGTTGTCAGATGTGATGATGGCGTCCATTTGGCCGTGATAATGTAGGATTTTTGCGCCGCGGTTGTGTACTGCACTGAGGTCACCTTTCCAGGTTTCAATGTTGGATGGGTTGATTCGAGCCGCGTTCGCATAATCTGTGGTATTCAGAGTTGCGGGGTCCCAGGAAGGGTCGTTGTAGATTGCGTATCGATACCAATCCGCCATATAAGGAAACGGAGCACCAGTGTAACTAATGTATGCCGCTGAAATCTCTGAGCCGGGTTGCATCCGAGGGTAGACAAGAGAGCCATCTGCGGCATACAACGGCGAGAAGATCTTTTGCACCGTCTGGGACTGCACAGGTGTTAAACAATTTGTCGTCAAGTTTCCGCCGCAGATTAGCCCTTTCGAATCGTAATTGCACAGTAGTGGGTCCTCGATGATGCCATCGATGTAGCCATCAATCGCATCACACTGCTTTAGAATATCTTGGTGAATGATGGGCCACATGTTTGTGGGAACAAAGGTAGGAGATGTTGGGTTTCCTTCAAGGATATAGAAGTGTCCGCTCCAAGACGTCAGGTTGTTGAATGCAAATGCTGGGGCACCAGCCACAATGCCGTCAAAATCTTCAGGAAAGTCTTGTGCGGATTTGAAACCTTGTCGACCTCCGGTGGAACATCCTAGGTAGTAAGACTTCTTGTGAGCTTTCCCGTAGAAGGCCTTACTAATCGCCTTTCCCACCACCACTCCAGTATGGACACTGGATCTATATTAGCTTGATCTCGACAGAGAAATGGTAGAGTCAGATAACTCACGACCGATACGCAAAGTCTGCTACAACTTCGGGGTTGTTGTAGAACGCTCCGCCGCTAGTACCGTTATGTCCGTTGTTTGCCCCGACGGATGCAAATCCTAATCTAGTAGTATAGACCATGTCGTTGTATCCCGTGCATCCAGATATGCCCCCATTTCCAGTACTCAGAAATCTCCCAGTCCAGTTTGCCGGAAGCCACGCTTCCATGTTAATGCCGGAGCGGTTAGATGTGGCCACATAAAGGGCAATACGGCAAATATCTGTAGAGATAGCTTGAGAGAATTGCCCACATGTGACATTATAATCTGGAATGCTGAGATTCGTCCCCGCTGCGACAAACTGGGAGAAGTAGATTGTGGCGTTCGCGATCTGGAGTTTCGGTGCAATAGATGTACATGTTTCCTGGAAGTCACCTACCGAGCGCAAGGATGACTGCTCAGGGAGTGCAAATGAAGCGCATGCGTTGAGAAGTGGAACCCACAGCAGTTGGTCGAGCTTCATGTTGAAGGAATTTGTGGCCCAGTCTGGGCAACCCGAATTCTGGAAGTCTGCGGCAAACATATGGACTTTAAGAAGGTTTCCAGGCACCGAAATGACGTGCATGCATTCTCGGCGCTCTCCTTAGACGGAAAATACACCGAGCAGCCAATTTAAATTCCGGCCGGTTCCTGGACGCGACGGGGCTTTGATCCGCTAGCCTGGATTAGCAATTGTGTTTATGCGAAGGCTCATTCACGAGTAGTGTTCACGCCTAATTCCCACATCGCGGGAGTAGCCTCGGGATATCTTTTAGCTGTCTCATACTAAAGTAGAGCTTTTCGAAAATGGAAAAAAGTTTTCGATGCTGGAAAATAAACAAAGGTTAGAATTGAGAACAGGGAATTATGGACAGCAATTGCTACAGGGAAGGTCATGGCGCAGTTGCATGGAAGGCCTGTCGAACGGTAAAACAGGAATTTAATCGAGCGATCGACATCTGCGAGGAACTGGAACACGCCACGTGCACGCGTCTAAAGCGAGCGATGTGCACCTAGGACGGCTTTTGTTGGAAATGAGAAATGCATGAATTGGGGATTTCACTTGGTCCGAATCTTCCGAGGTTGGGGGCCTGACCAGCATGACTAGGAAGATACATCCCGATCCTAGCTACTTAGGTTTTCTGGGTATATGGAAGAGATTATGCTTCGTGATTATGTTTCTAAGCTGAGAATTGACCGAGATGCGAGAAATCCAAGGCTGGCAATCACATATATTTCCACGTGACTTATTATCGTAGACCTGTACAGATATATATCCCCTGACATACATAGCACATTTACTTTACTCTAGCATAGGGACATCTGTCTAGATGCTATAACAAGAAGTCTTCACTCTCACTCTCACCCAAATCCATCAACAACCATGCATTCCTCACGAGCCACATCCCGCTCAAAATGCTCTCCATGACTTTTACGGCGTCGATAGCACCCAGGAGATTATTAAGAGTAGCTCTTGTCTAGAGCCTCGAGAAGGGTTATTTCACTAGTGCTCGAGTCCAACATCGTGCTGCAAGCGAGGTGGCCGAATCATGGAGTGATCGCGCTGTGGTTGGAATGCCTTGTCCCACCAGAAAGTCGAAGACCGCACAGATACAATCCTCAATCCAATGTCAAGTGATGAAGTCCTTGATGGGGCTATTAAAGATCGTGGCCGACGGTTCGGGGATGGGCATGGTGGCTTGGGGGACAAGGCCGTGCATCATGTGCACAAGATCCGCAGCCTTAAAAGGCTTTTGCATCACCCGGTCCTGCAAATCGATAAGTTTATATGTCAAGAATTCGAAGCTTAATCACGAGAGAACGTACCGCTCCGGCTGCAAGCGCCGCTTCAATCTGCTCCGGTCTGACATTCGCCGTGACCGCAATAATTGGCAAAGGGTTCACCAATCGCCCCTCCTGTAGACGCTTCCGAATCTCCTTTGTCGCACTCAGTCCGTCTAATACCGGCATTTCCAAATCCATCAACACGACATCGAACTTTTTTCTATCCAGAGCGTCTAGAGCTTCAAGTCCGTGATTAGCGACTTCGACAACGCACCCGGCTTTCTTCAACTGCTTGCCAAGGACCTGCTGGTTTATGACATTGTCTTCGACGAGCAGGACATCTAACTGCTCACTCAAGACTCCCTGGTGCTCTTGTGGAAATTGCTCTCCCAGTCTCTGCAGTCGTCTCTGCACTCTCTTCGTCTTGACATAGAAGCCAAACGTAGAACCTTCTCCAAGAACAGATGTTACGCCAATCTCTCCACCCTGCTTCTCCGTCAATTCCTTCGAGATGAAGAGCCCCAACCCGCTTCCACCATACTTGACATGAGTGCGCATATTCGCCTGTCGAAAACGTTCAAATATCTTATGGATCTCTTTCCCATTCAAACCAATTCCAGAGTCTTTAACAAGGAAGGTCAGGTAGATAGTTTCCCCCATTCCCCATTCTTTGTTATTCGTTACGTCGTCTTGTTTGTCGCCTCGAGTTGCCCAAAACATGTCATCTGGAAACATGGAGCGAGGATCGGATAAGGTGGCACCGTACCGAACGGAGATTTTCGGGTTAGTGGATAATTTCACAAACTTGATTGCGTTCGTGAGTAGGTTGATGAATATTTGCGTGACCCGAGACGGATCCAAGTAGAGATATTCGATGCTCAATTCGAAAATGGAGGGTTCAGGTTCGACATCGTATTTGACATGGTTAGATTTTAGCTCAGCTTCGAAAATTTTCATAATGGCATTGATAAGTTTCGACGGTCTTGTGGCGGTGGGGGTAACCGATAGCAGCATGGAATCGAGCTTGCTCAGCGTCAAAACATCATCAATGATGCGCTTTTGGTGATTGGCACATTGTATGATAATCTGTGCCGCAGAAACATTCTCGGCCAAAGAATCGAGACAGGGCTGCGGTATTTCCTCGAGTTTGGAGCGACATTCTTCCAGGGAACTGCTAATGCTGTCTGCACAATGCACGATTGCGCTCAGAGGATTCCTCATTTCATGAGAAACGACATCGATGAAAGCCTCCTGTTGCCTTTTAGCTTCCCTTGCTTCGGTAGCCAATCGCGCTTGAAATGTCTCGGCCCACTTGAGTCTGCTGATGTCGGTAGCGCAAGCCATAATAGACTTTAAGCTACCACTTTCGCGATAGGGAAAGGCCAGAACCTGAAGCTGGGCAGGCTCCGCGTCGCCTATCGGAGAAGTGTAAAGACGCTTGAGCCGAAGTTCTGCAGTGACGTGATTCGCACCTCCAAGAAGATTCTTCCAGAGTTCGTCCGCTTTGCCTCGATCTTCATCCTGCAAAATGAATTAGTAAAAAAATGCTTATTGCAACAGTGGGTGAAGTCGCCGCTGTGTAGTGACATAAGATTGTGGTAGCTTTAAATATGCAAAGAAAGCAGACTAGTGCTGAAAATAGGGCCTGAATAGGGTCCTCACTAGATAGACGTCGAAAAACGACCCTCGGTGTGGGTGTTGGTCGGCTCGTCGGCCTGAAAGAGCATAGTAATGGTCATTCGCCCATATCATCTCTCCATCTAGCGAGACATGGATCATCCCCACTGAAGCATGTTCAATAAGATGTCTCAGCTTCGTATCGCTGAAGGCGAGATCATTCTCCAATCGTTGTTGGCATTTCCGAGCCTCCTCTGCGTTGACGGCCGCAGAAACGACACTTGATACCATCCGACCCAGATCTTTCAAAAACTGTTCACAGGCGTCGTCGAATGGCCGACATGGATTTGTTCCGGTGATGAGATAGCCAAAGACACGTGACCCGCTTGTTATGGGGAGGACGGCAATCTTTTTGGAGGGTTGCTTAAACCCACTCCAGGAGATGGCGTCGAAACGGTTGTCATAGCCCATTATGAGCGGATTAGATCCTGCACGGCGGCAGTCGGGTACTAGACCTTCGGAGCTACTGATATCTTGCTCATCAACCATTAGGTTGTGGCCGCTTGGGAGCCCGATGTGACCTCGAAGCCGCAGGATAGTTGATTGTGGGTTCTCATCCGCTTCGTAGAGGATAGCCATTGGTATGTCATTGCCATTTGTTTCAAGTGAAGCAATGATATGCCGGTAAATGGCATCGACTGTTAGCTCTGGAACGGAAGCCATTCGATTGAGCATTGTCGTCCTACGGTCGTTAAGCCGCTGATTTGTGACCTCAAACAGGGAATTGTAGAATCCTTCGGGTAGGGTTGTGGGTCCCCCGCCGATAGGTACAAAGTTTCCGGTGAAGAAGGCCTCCTCTCGCCATCCAAGCCGCTCTACCATCAACGCAGAAGCTGCTGAGTGGTCGGAGGCGACACCAGTCGCTCGAGCTCTGTCAAAGAAGGGTTGGATGCCATCCCAGAGGTCTGGATATGCGTTGATGAAGGTCGAGCCCATGAGCTTAGGGTGGACTTGGCCCGATAGAGGCATGTAGGCCTCGTTATAGATGGCGACGAGGTCCGGTCCCCTATTCCAGGTCAGCCAGTCAATGAAAAAAAAAAAAAAAAAGCTAAGGATGCTACTTTTATGCATACCACCACAGACAAGCAGCACGAGAGTCGGCAAAGAGCATGCGGGTGAAGAGCCGCAACGTTGGGCTCCATTCCGTTAGGGGCCCCAGCTTGCTCTTGGACCAATCCGTCGTGCGGAAGAAGCGGACATGGTCGGTTTGAGGCAGGTCCTCAGTCCAGTCGCGATTTTCAAAAGCGCAGTCGTTTCGTTGGGGACCGGTAGCATCTCCACCTCCAAGAGCGTCGGCGGGATCTCCGCCCTGGGGCGGCGGTATCAGCTGCCGTGGCGGCATGGGGTTAGAGCCGAGAGGGGTGAAGTGCTACACAACTACGCTGGATCTGGTCGATGTGGACGCAGCAACATGCCGGAGAGTGTGCGTACAGTTCGTTCATACACGCTAAAAACTCGCTTGAGCAGCCAAGCGTCGGAAATCAAAAGCAGAAAGTGTTGCGTCAGCTTTTAACTTTTTTGTATCTAGCTTAACTTTTTTGTGTCTAGCTTAACTTTTGTATATACAAGGTCATCTTTCAGCTACAAAGCTAGTATGCAAAAGGTAATAGCCCTGCAACAGAAGCAGGGGACGCAAATAGCAGTGTAGGTATATTTTAATTATAAATTAGGAGCATATCTAGCGCATTCTAGGATACAATTGCAATAAGCCTTTTTGTATCTAGAAACTTAACAATTTGTATCTTTAATGTCTTCTAATACTGTACCTTCTTTTATGCCTTCTTTTACAGAAGTTATCTAGCAATACTACTGCCTAGTTAAGCAAGCTTAAACCCTAGTTAACAATCTTACTATTAATACACAGGACCTTATTATTAAGGATAAGGACAAGGCCCTTGCTAAAGAGTGTAGCTATCCCCTACTAGAGGTTAAGCCTATAGGCCCTAATGTACAGGTAAGTAAGCTCTAAAATACATTTATTATTTATTTAGAATATACTCTAAGTGTATTATAGAAGGAAGACAATGTATAGCTAGCACTTACTAAGAGCGTTAACCCTATTGTTGCCTATAAGATAGACAGTGGCTAGATCCTACCTAAATACCCCTATACACATCTAGATAGGTACGCTTACGTACTTAATTGCAATAACTCTACTTAGCAGCAAGCTATATTAATGTTAAAGGTACTTACAGCAGCTAATTTCCTAAGGATACTTTAAAAATTTATTGCTAATGTATTATTATTATATTAGGGTTACTAATTCTTGTGCTAAGTTGTCTTACTGTTCCGCCTAGTCTACTCACCCTACCTTAGGTGTAATGCCCTCTGTGCTAAATATTAGTGCACAGGATTCTGTGGCTGCGAATACCTACATCTAGACCTATCTAACATGCAATATAAATAGATTTTAGATTTAATGTAGGCTTGTTACGCAGAGCTCTGTACAATTAATAATATATTAGAAACAGATTTAAAGAGGCGTAAATCTATAGCAATTTTTTAGAGGGCACAGACTAGGTTTAATATACATAAAGCCTATAATTTATAAGTAGAGAGCTGTAAGCTTATAATTAAGCAGCTAAGATTTCTAGTAAGCCTACTTTTAGATACATTCTTATAACGCTTTTATTATATTTAGCATAGGTTTCTAATATATCTAGGACCTAAATAGCAGATTAACTCCCTACTTAGCCTATAAAAACTATTGTGTAGCTCTAGAAGAGCATAGCAAGCACTTTTATAAGTAGCTTCTGCCTAATACCTTTAATAAGCCTCTTTTAGAAAAGTTAGTGCGTGGTGTTAAGGTACCTTAAGAGGCACCTAAATACTATAGTGTTGTTAAGCTAAGCATTTTAAAGCGCTAAATGTGCAGTAAGTCTATTTAAAGAACAGCTATATATCTATTCTAAATTAACTTTTAATGTATCTAGGTATTAACTATCTACAAGGCTAAAGAAACATAGTCTAATATAACAGCTGTGCCCTTTGTTTTTACTTTATTATCTTTAATAACTAGATTAACAAGCTAATTATAATATTTATTTTATTTAGGACACATATTAGTTGCCCTTCTCCTTCTAGTTGTGCTCTAGAGGACGTTATTAATTGTTTAGTTAGAGTAATAGCTAACTATGTTACACCTAACATAATGCTTAGTAAGTAAAAACATTCTATATATATTTAAAATGTATTTAAAACTAAACCTACTGCTACAGCCTAGTTCTTATAGAGCTTAATGCTTTATTAATTCTATAACAACTACTATGTAGCTACTCTCCCTTAGATTTACTAGTCTTTTATAAATAAAAATTAAATTAGGTGTTTTTTATACTAAGAACACCTACTTGCCTATCCCTAAGGCAAGACTACCTGTAGTGTACTAGCTAAGTATTATTAGCAGCGTTTCTTGCTAGTAGAAGAGGTAAGTATATTTTATAAATACATTTAGAATGCATTTCTAATATATCTAGCGCTATATCTAAAGCTACTATAATAATACTAATAGGGTTATAATTATCTGTTGCTATAAGCAGCAGATTAAGCTTTTACTCTAATAAAAGTCCTTTAAAATTAATATGTCTTTTAAATATATCTATAACACTACCTTTAATAAAATTATTGCTGTATTATAGAGTAAGAAGTATAAGAAGAGTAAGTTACAGATCTATATACATTTTAAATATATTATTAATGTATCTAGACATTCTATATTTTTGTATTATTACTAATAGCGCTAGGCGTGTTACCTATTAGCGTATAATAGCGCGTATTAATAAGCTTGTCTTTAAGATAACAAATAGACAACTCTACTTCTAATACTTACATAGCAAAGGCTTAATAGCCTTAGTTGCTAATATAGATAGGAAGCAACTAGCTAGTAAGTAGATATAAAATGCATTTTGTATTATGCTAAAACTAATAAGAATAGATACTAATTATATGCAGGTATTACGCATTAGCTTTAGTCTATTAATCTATACAGCTATAATTAGAGGTAGCAAGCAAGGCAACTTTTCATCTTCTGCTGCGTCTACTTTAGGCGTAGTATTAAGAGAGCTGCTAGGCCTAGATAGACTTGCTACTCTGTTTATGCCTAAATAGTTACTATACTAGAGGCATTAGCTACTAAATATTACTAGATCCTAGATCTGCTAATTAGTATGTTTTAAGAATTTATTTATTATGCATTCTATAATATTACTAATTATATCTTAGAGAACAAATGCAATTTAATCTAGCAGTAAGCCTACTATAAAAAACACCTTATAATTGCTGCTAGATTAAATCTAAATCTTTCTAATATTTCTACTTCTAACTTCCTTTAACAACGCCTGCACACTAATAGCGTTAAGCAGACAGCAAATGCGTCCTATGCTTATAGAACCTAGCAGCATCTCCTGCCTACAGTTTTTAGGTACATTTTACTTGTTATTACATTCTAATTTAATTTAGAATACATACTAATTATATTCTAATTAGGGCCTAGTCTATAGATCAACGTATTATAGAGGAGTGTACTGCCTAGGACAAAGGTGTATCCTACACCTACTGTAATTGCTTAATAAATAAGCAGTACAAGAAGCATATGCTTTGCAAAAGTAAGCAAGCTTTTAAAATGTATTTAAAATTAATTCCTAATACATTCTAGAGCATGTTGCAGCACAAGGGATTATAAGAATAGAAAAAATTAATCTTACAAAGAAAGGTAAGGACTAGGTGCTGTTTACTGCTACCTTAAGCAGTAATATACCTAGTAGTGCTTGCTGTAGTTAGCTAGCTAAACAAAGCTCTTAGGCACTAATTAAGTCTTGTAGAGTGTCTGTCTTGTCTACTAAGTTGCTATCTTGCGTTCTAAAATTAACAAGGTATGTTTAGATACATATTAGATACATATTAGATACATTGCTTACTTACTCTAGATCTACCCTATCTCTATGTGTCCCTTCTCTAGAGAAGCAGTAG